CTCCTAGCTTCTTGAGAGCCGAAATTGCTGACCGGAGCTCAGTGCCCCTTGTGGACGGTTGGCAGGCGGCTTCGGAAAGCTGATCAGCCAGCTTTTGCCGGCGTTCGGTTATGGTGGTCTGCAAAGACATGACCATTTCGGGGGATAAGGTTTTTTTCTCTTTTGCCTCGGCCACGACTTGTTCTCCTTCGTCGAGGCTGACCAAAGCCTCCTCTATCCTCCTTTCGGCAAGCAATACATCGAGATAGTCGGGGAACTCGGTCGACCATTTTTCCACATCAGAAGGCTCTCTAATTTTGTTGTTGGGTTGACCTGTTGTGGTGGAACCATCCGGAAAGGTGTCGGACAATGACTCGATATGGACTCCCTCTGCTAAGTTGTGAATTAGGGTCGCCTGTGTGGATAGCAGATTTCTCATCGATGAAAGCTCACCCTCCAAATCTGATATCTCTTTGGCTGTCCTGCAGTTTTCATTGCAAAATGAGTAACTTCTGAATATGGAATTACAAATATGTCGAATATGTGGATAATGAAATAATTAACATCTGTGTGGCTGTAAGACATGCTGCATATGCTAGAACTGTACAGCAAGGATCTCCATAAACGAAATGTATTAGTGAGTTCTTTTTATTTTCACATCCTGAAAAAAGAGCACTACTGCTTAGGATGTATGTGTATATCGATGGATAACTACGATATAGATTTAATGTGATTGTTCAATCGATGCCTAAATCTTCTACAGATTTCAAATGAAGTGCATTATCTATGGTTGCAATTGGAAATTTTTGGTATAAAGTATTATTTAGTATTTACTTTCGGCAGCATGTTTATAAAGTACTACATTAAATATTATCAAAATTTAAAAAGTTCTATAAATTATGAAATAACCATATTGATGAATCTATATCATTAAAAAATTATAAACGTGCCCATCGTGTCATTTAGCATATATACAGTATAAATAATATATGAAACAAGATGATTTATATTTTCATTATCTTTCTCTCCGTACAAAAAAAAAAAAAAAAATTGAACCCAAGCTATTCAAACGCAAATCATCTACATTTCTCTTCCTTCCTTTAAATTTCAAAGAGATGCATAATTCTTTTTTACCAATTACGGATAAGTGCAAACACACACATTCAGGATGATGACATTAATTGGTTTTTGTGTAATAATTTTACAACTATATTTGTTACTTCAACATATTAATTTGCAATCCCACATTTTGAGGCCTGTGCATTGCTCGGGCAAGAGTACTTGGTTACTAATTTAAACATAAAGTGAGTTGCTCGATATCATGTCTTCAACCAAATGCTATGTTGCATTCCATTTACTGCTATGAGATATCAATTTTCATAAAAAAAAATGGATCATAGAAAAAGAGAAAATGTTATCTCGGCAAGGACAGAACAATAAAGAACTCACCGTATAAATGCTGTATAATTAGCATATACACTTCTGCGCATTTCTTCAGCCGAAGCTCTCTTCAAATCCACAAGATACGAGCATAACTGTCTAATTTCCTGCAAAATATATTCAAATGTTACGTGCTGCGTAACCATTCACCTTTGTATGGGGTTCAAGAGAACCCGAAGTGAGATGAAGAAGACTAAGTTATAAGCCATTATAAAGTTTTAGTCAAAAGGCTTATATCAGAACTAGGCATTGCCTTCCCTGCCCCTATGCTGACTCTCACTACAATAAGATACTGAGCCAAAGATAGATTGCGAGTGTAAAAGGTCAGACTGCTTGTGAGGCAAGGCAAGAGCTGTAGAATTCAATAATTCTCATGACACATCAATCGATACCGTATGTCTCAATAACTTATGTGGGTATTTAGATATTAAATATGAAATCTGAACCTCCTATTTCTTATTGGTCATTGCCCACCAAATTAGTGTTTTTTTTTTTTTTTAGCTTTAACAGACTAACCACAGGACACTTGGAAGTCATTCATGCCCCGTCAGTATTATCGACTGATGAAAAAAAAAAAGTCGATCTAATCCTCTAGCCAATATAGAAGATTTAGACTCCTTTCACAAAAGCAACATAAAAACCCAAAAATAACAAATTGAATCCCCATCTCGTGTTGGTCCAACTTCAATTATTTACATCCGCCTAACTCCGGGAGCAATTTAAAAGACTGCAACTTAGAGATTTACACCCTACGTGTTGCTCGGAAAATTAACACAATGCCATTTTGTAATGTGCCCGACAATTCATCGAAAGAAATCTGGCGCATTTGTTATCGACCAAATGTCCTTTGCATATGGAGCTGGAAGAGTCATTGTTGACAATTCTCCTAGCATAGTGCTAAGAATGGACTAGATCAAAATGGCTCAATTAAATTCTAGTGCTTCTTCTATTAGTGAAGTTTCTAGAAAAAATATATCAAACGACGCAACGCACCTTGGGTCGCTATGGAAACAGCCTCCTTGTATAATTACAAGGGTAGGTCTGCGTACAACTGACCCCCAGACCCCAACCTGTTGGGAATATACTGGGTATGTTGATGTTGATGATGTTGATGATGTCAAGTAGTATAAAGCTAGTTATATGCCCCTGTAATCGCATGTTCGTCGACCTTAAATATAAAAGTCCCAACCAATTAAACCCACAAGGACAAAAATTGTAAACACGATGACATAACTTCTTCAACTGTCGACCATAGAGCTCAAAACAAGCTATTATCCCATGATATATATACATGCTTAAGCAAGCTGCAAAAAATACCCAACCAATTGACTGTTTTTTTTTTTTTTCATTTATTTCGCACACCTCATCGTTAATCAATCTGTGAACAATCAAGCAATTTGTAACCGAGGTAAATAAAACTATAAGAATCTAATTTTTTGGACCTTTTCGCTGAGCGAGTGACACTTGGACTGCACAAAAGCATCAGCATCGAAGCTATCGGACTTGAAGACGTTGAGATTTTCCTCGAATTTTGCTCCCGCGTCTTTGGCATTCACCTTCGCTGAAACTCCGGTGAGAGCTGCTGCTCTTGACCGAGAGGATTTCGCCGACGCCATAACCAAAAATAGGCTTTTGTTTCAAATGAAAATCAACTCAACCGACCAAGCAAGCAAACAACCGAACAAAACCCAATTTGTTGACTAAATTTAGCCCCAAAAAAAAAGGGAGAAGCTGCAGCTCGATGATTCAGATCCGGCGGCTGTTCCGACGCCGTGCGATCTCCGGCAACTCACTCGAATAAAAAACGATCGTTAGTTGAAGTGGTGATCAGAGAATTTGGGGGCTCAGGGAGTGAATGGCGAGGATTGAAATCGCCATTGGAGGGCAGAAAAAAAGGAAGAAAAAAATGGGAATTGTTTGTTTTTTTGTTGAGTTGGTTTTTGGTTGGCGGAATGTTTTGGGTGAGCTGTTTTGATGAAAAAGACTCGAAAACTCCCAAATTTATTACTACTTTTTTTTTTTTTGTGTACATATTTACTGTCATTATTTCCGTTTAAGAATGTGTGTTTATTGCAAATTTCCTCTCTTCAGGTGGAAAAAGGCCTTCACTGTTGTGATCTACTACTTATGATTTCTTTGGGAAGATGCTACGGTCCCGTTACGGAACCATTATGTCGGGGTTTATAACCGTTAAATTAGCTATCTCTGACGGTTGCATGATAATCTAACGGTTACAAACCCGACGGAATAGTTCCGTAACGGCACCTTAGCATTTATCATTTTTTGTTTTGACATTAACAAGGCATTAAATTTTTTATTCTCCTTTAAAATTATATCATATAACATTTAAATTTGAGATGATCTACTTTGTTGTATAAATTGAAACTAGTATTCGACCTGTGCATTTGCACAGATATAAATAAAGTATTTTGAGTTATTTGTATGCATATAATTATTAATAATTTTTCTTGCACTTTTTGCATGCCACATTTACAATTTAAGGAGTTGGAATAGTTATTTATTTAAATTGCGTTTATCATATTGGATGTGTATGTAGTGTATATTTTGGTATGTATTTTTTTGTGAATTATTTATTATTTTATTTAGGAATTTCAAATACGTTTTTTATTTTTCAAAATAAGTTAATCTAAATGTAACCACAACAATAACATCTAATCACGTTAAATGGTCAACACAATATATGGTCAACTGTAAGTAAATCAAAAGTTTAAAATGATTTTTTTTTTAAATTTTGAAGTGATTAATGTGTTGATTATCTAATAACTAAATGAGAGGTTAAATAAATAAAAAGTAACGGTTTTTGGAGAGAAAAGTTATATTGCCATATAGGTATAATTTAATAGGTTTTATTAAATGTTCATGAGCTAGTAATTATATATATATAGATGTTTTTCTTCATGACATTTTATCGTATAAGTATATAATTCATTCAAAATTATAGCAGATTGACCCGCCTAATGGTAAGTATATATAGTTTTCATAAAAAATTATGAAAAGTTGACCCACCTAATGGTTAAGTCATCTTGTATGAAAATTTGTGATCATAAAATTATGTCATGAATGACTACAATTAATTTATTGCCCAACAAATTTGATTTAGGTTGGTGAAATACTTTCATTTGTTTCATCATACTTTTGTAATAACAATGTGTAAAAAATGTTTACTTATATTAAGAAGTATTATGATATTTTTAGAATATGCATTTCAATTAAAACTAAAGACATGTTGAAAAATATACCTGTCTAACCATTTAATTTAATCTAGACAAAAGAAGGAATCAGTGATTAGAGTTACAAATGCTCATATTTTCTCAACATACTTGCCTTGCCTGTTAATCAAACACTCAGAACAACTAAAACAAACATTTATTTTGCTCTGTCCAAATAAATTTTATTATTACCAGATAGATTGGCAATAGCATGAAAGTAAAATTGAGTCCAAGCATTCCAATTCTTATTACATAACAAGCTCATTCGAGCTCTTCTGAGAATTGCAAATCCACAACAGTTTGAACGGAAGACAAAAGTGCGCGTTTTTTTTTATCTGCCAATTCCGAGGCTCATTCAGGGTTGTCCGAGCGGATGGCTGAAAAGAAGATAACACAACAAAAGATATCAAATCAGGATAACTAAAAACAAAAAAGTCACTTTCTACAGCAACCAGTATGCTCATGACTTTCCGACAGTAAATTTCACCGAGACACAATCAGAATGAAACCGATCATACATGAGAAAGGTTTATACAAGCCTTGAATGCATCAGATTAGCGAAAAATAGTAACCACATAGATGACACTCTTCAAACTTTTCAACACTTAGATATATGTTCAGTAGAGATGAAAAACAACAATATATCGCCTTTTTTCAGTTTAACACATACTCAGATACTACACATCAAACACCCTTTTTCACAGGTCATAAAGCTTAGAGATAGCATTAGATAGCAAGAATCATGCTCATAACAGTTTTTGTCGAGTAAATTACTTAGGCGAATTGAGGACCTAGCAAAAATTAATTATTTTTTATTCTCAGGTAATCTTTTTTAAAAAAACCTGATTATAAATTTTCAAAGGCATCAATTTCTGTTTCCCAGTACACCCATAGTATCAGATATACCATTAGATTTGCAAAGAACACTGTCTCAAAGCTCAAGCTCGATTCTTCTGTTAACAATATACGGGGCCACCCGAATAACACAACATTAAATCAAATTTACAAATGAAGCAAACATGTCAAAGCCCAAGCTCAACTGTAGGGTACAATGTTCAGTTCCTATTCCATATTCTCTTTGAAGAAACTCAATTAACAGAAGATTATGTTTATCAAATTCTATTTGAGCCAATCAAGTCACCACACATTGATCATTTTCATCAGACACCCTTACAATTTCAATAAGTAACAATGCTTTTCTGGACAAATAAACAGAACAAAAAGGCTTCAGGCCAAAACAATTATGAGCATAAACTTCCCCAATTTGAAAATCCTTATTGTAAGAACCATTAATCACCTCCAAACCAAGAGGTCCAATGAACACACTAACCATAACAACAGTCATATACCAAATTCCAACAAAAATCAATCTCCAAAACCCAAAAAAAAAAACCCAGAAAATAAAAAATCGGAAATACAGATCTCAATAAATTCTCACAATAGAGAGAGAGAGAGAGAGAGAGAGAGAATCAGAAGTTACTTGGCTTCTCCGGCCGGCCGTCGACCCACTCAGAGACGGCGAAATGGACCTTCTCACGGGTGAGAGCTTCGGATTTGTAGGGCTCCTTCAAACACTGCCTCACCAAATTGGCGCATAGGTTCGAGTACGTTATGTACGTCATCCCGGCAGCTCTCCAAAACGGCACCGCTGCATTAGACGCCATTTTTGTTCTTCTGCGATTTTTTTGTGCTCTCTCTCACTAGCTTTTCTTCTTTTCTCGACGAGCTCACCTTGTGATGGAAAATGGTGACATGGTGAGATCAGACCATTTTATTTCTGTAGACCCGCAGCTTTTTGGACCGTCTAGTGGGCTCCCAGGATATTTGGGCTGTTGTTATTTGGGCTAGGTCCTAGCTCAAACTTTACTCCCCCCACATTTTTTGTTACATTTTAACACAACTGAATTTTTTATGCTATTACTTTAGCAATAATACTTACCTACCCACGGTGGGCACATGTTAATACGTCCACCGCTTATGTGTCATGCACACATTGGTGATGTTAATATCTTAAGAAAAATACATCACCAATGTGTGCATGCCACATAAGCAGGTGGACATATTAACATGTGACCACCGTGGGTAGGGAGCAATACTCTTTATTTTAGTACATATATGTCCATTTATGTACTTTAGGCCCATTTTATTGGAGGACTTTATTATTATTATTATTATTATTAGTTTAGTGCATTACGTGTATTGGTTTGTGCTTGTATGTTTAGTGTTGATTGTTGTTTCCCTCGGTTGCATATATAAGTTAATGAGAAAATTGTCCTCTAAGTGTAGTATTTTGATTTATTAATAAGTTTTATTATTTTTTTTAATAAAAAAAGGAATGAGTTTTGCTATGGAGCTAAACTATTGAGAATCTCGTGCGATGCACGCGAGTTTCGTACATTAGAACATTTTTTCAAAATTTTATTTGAACAACCGCTGACCCGTTTATATCAATATAAATAATATTTTGACATATATATTTATTTTTTAATAAAAATAATAGTTATATATATTTTGGTTCATCTTAATACTCACATATTATTTTGTTAAAAATAAATATTGTCGTAATTCGCTATAATCTTAATACTCGCATATCATTTTTCAGTGTTAATAGTGTGAAAAATCTTAATTCGTTGTAATTTAAACTCGAAATGTGCACATGTGTTTCGTTTCAAAATAAAATTTGGAAGGGGACCATATTGAGCTGTGCTCTGCTAATACCGATGAGTTTGGACTTTAGGAGGTGTTTTCAATTGTGACTTCTAAAAACTTATTAAGACTTTTTAAAGTGAGTGAATTTGGTGGATTTTGTGAAATTTTTAATGATTTTGGTGGACATTAGTAGACTTCCATAGCAAAATATCACCGATTTGATGAGATTTATATTGAGATTCTATATTTGTAATTTTATTAAAAAAGTCTTCCTATTTAAAAAGTCTTATAAAGTCTTTCTACGTTGAATACCGAGTGACTTATTGAGACTCTTAGGTAGTTTCAATTGAATACACCGAAACTTTTAGAGATTCATAAAAAGTCTTTAAAAGTCTTTTGAATACATGCAGACTTTTTAGAAGTTTCAAAAATCAATTGAATTTTGAAAATCTTTAAAAGTTTTAATTGAATACGACCCTTATTGTAGGTTTGAGTATTATAAAATATGAAATACCTAGGTAAATTTAATAACCTATAAAAAATATTTTAAAAGATACTTTTATTATTGCTTAATTTTCATGATATCTTAAATTAACCATTTTTAACATTATTTGATATGAGGTTGATATAACGTATTTATAATAAAATAATAGCTGTACCAACATTTATAAATAAAGCTGAATTTTTTTATTTCTATTAATTGACAAATAACAAAATTACTATTAAATTTAATTTTAAAAAATAAAATTCCAATTGCAAAGTTTAACAATTTTTAACATTATTTAACAATCATACATTTGGGCTTATTAATATCAGTTTAATATTCATGTACTTGGGCTTCTTAATATTAGTTTGTATTAGGCCCATTTGATGTAATACATTGTATCAGCCCATTAGGTTTTATATTTGCCATATATAAGGCTGAACTAGGGTTTACTGTACTCACTTTTTCACTTTCTCGATTCTATCAGATCAATAAGATGTATTTTCATTTTCTCTCGATCTCTCGCTCTCTAGTTTCCATCTGATTTCATATGAACATCTTGTTCAATAAATCATATTATGGTATCAATCGCTGAGTTGTTTTCGATCCCTTACTGATATACTTCCGCTGTTTACTATTTTCTCTCGATCGATGTTTTGAGCTTACAGATCTGGTCCTTGTAACCCTAGATCTGTGTTTTCAAACCCTCCGATTTGAGCTATTTTGTTCCAGATCGATATTATACACTATTTTTCCTTATCGATTGTCATGGCTACTATCACACCACCGACCGACGATCCGTCATCGCCGTTTTTTCTTCATCCGAGCGATAATCCGGGTGCACTAATCGTTGCAGAGGTGTTTAATGGAGAAAATT